AGAGCAAATTAGCCCTTAAGGTCTCATTTTCTCATCTGTGAAGCAGAATTGTTGCTGTGCTTGAATGAAATAATAGTGTTCCCTTAAATGGTCCTTGATATATCATAAACACCCAGTATGATCAAGATTATCCTCTTTACTATTTCTGGCCTTTATCCATGAGTTCTAGGTATACTCTGAATAATATGCATGGGTCAGGAGTTGAATAGAAAGTGTCATATAATGCTCACTAGTATAATTTAGCTCCAAAGACAATGATTTGGAAGTCTTAAAAAATCCTTTAAATATATATTTTAAAAAAACTTCCAAAAAGTCTTAAAGATTTAGATATATCTATAAAATATATAGAAAAAGTCATGTCACTTCACTTCTCTCGGCTTCTGTCCTCATTTGTAGAATGAACAAGCTGTCATCGGTGATTTCTAGATTTCTTTCTGGCTCAAACATTGGCCCTAAAATGGAAAAGGAAAAACTAGATTGGGTCTGGTAGCACTAAATGTAAATCATAGCCAAGAAAGTAAGGTACTTTGATGAAATACTGAACAAAATTCAAGTCTCTATTTCCACATAAATCTTGTATTTCTTCTCATCCTGTCTTCTGAACTGCCCTGAGATCACCAACACTTACCAGTATATGAACACTATTCTGTCCTCATCCCATTGTACTGTAATCCATAGTTTGCTTTACTGTTTCTTTCTTAAAACCATCTTACTGATATTTCCACATTCCTTTTGCTTTGCTTTTGTCTTTACAGCAATGCATTAGTGTCTTTAAAGCTACTCACTCTCAGGACGTGTGCAAATTCAGTAAGTTTAAGGTTACTATCACTCAGGAAGTGTGCGAAGGGTATTCTAAGTGTTTTGTCCACATGACTTAACTTACTAGTGAACAGTCCAAGGACACAAAGAAACTAAAACCACTTGGATAAACACAATGGAATCCCTTGATGATGAGACCCCCCCAAACCAATATGGTGGTGGAAAGCTGACCATTGAATCAGTTGTGTATGCTTTCTGTCTTTATTCTGGTGGTATCTCAGGATAAAGAAAAATAAATGGTAAAGGATGCAAAAGAAAAATTTCCACTTAAAGCAGAATTTTTCCAAAAGATATCAACTGAACATTGTGTTTTGTAGCAGGCTTGAAGCTGGTAAGGGTCTTTAAACATCAGTGACCTTGAGAAATCAGGCTCTTCTCATTGGACCTACATGAAGGCACTTTCCTGAGTAATGAACAATGTGATATTTTCCTTAACCAACTGTCTACAGACATGTAGATTCATTGTGTCTTATATCCAGAGTGCCAGTTTCCACTGCTTAACTAGCAAACTTCATGAACATTTTGTTTCTTACACTTAGAAACCTTCACTTTTCTCACTCAGTGAAACAGTAAAATCTTCATTGGATGAGTTTCCTACTTAGCAAAATTAGTAACTCAATTCTGTAATTGTGGGGGGTGGAGCTTAGATGGTATTGCTTTAGTCATTGACAAGGTAAGATGCTGTGAGGATGGATTCTCAGTAAGTCACCTTGTATAAATTAACTTTTAGTTTTCCAAAGGTGCTACCCTCTCCTTTTTGATGTACATTCTACTGTTATCCTTTCTTCTCCTTAGGAATTTGGTTCCTGGCTACTCTCAATACCAAAATCCCAGGATATCCAAGTCCCTTACATAGAACATAATAATGTGTATGACCAATGCACGTCAACTCACGTACTACCTTAAATCATCTCAAATTACAATGTAAATGCTATATAAATAGTTCAACTGTTAATTAACAAGAAAAGTAGTATGTAGATGTTCAGTACCTTTTTCTCATACTTGCTTCGCTACTGGCTAAACCCATTGATTCAGAACCTCCTATGGATTGAAAGGGCCAAGTGTACATGCCACTATCTACCATCATAGATCAATGAAAACTTGCCCTCAGGACTGTTAACAAATCTAGATTTTGAGTTTTCAGGGTTTAATGTCTGATTTTATTAAAAACACTTATTTCATGCTTTGTTTTCCATTCAGAGACCCTACTGTGCTAGCCTAGATTCTCTGAGTTTGCCATCAATGTACAATAGCCCATAATGGGATGTTATCTCTGGCTGTAGTTGGGAAAAATGGAAGTAAGTCAGTAAAGATTAGTGGAAATAAAAGGTCAGATAATGTGATGTTAGGAAAATGAACCCTTAGATATGTATTTTAATGTTTTTTTATTTCATGCATTTGTTTCTAACGCATTTATAAGATTATCTCTTTGTTGCTTTGTATGTCCCTCCCCCACAGTATAACCCCTGCTTTCACTATATTTGATGTCAGTATAACTTGTAGAGGAGATGGGAAAAACAAGTCGTTTAAGGATACAGGTGGACCTGTTGCAACAATGAGAAGTACAAGTTGTCATGTGGAAAACGAGCTTTACAACGTTAGTGCGGGGGGGGGGGGGGGGTTGGGGGGGGGGGGGGGGGAGGATTGGGTGGGGGGGGAGAGGCTGGGAAGGGATGTGAAGGGTAAGCAAAGGAGGAGGCTGCAATGCTTGATAAGAAATGTACGCATTATCCTGCCCATGTAATTGTTACCCCACTGTACAGTGTGTTCACACACAAAAAAATTAAATTTAAAAAAAAACAAAAAAAATACACTGGAAAGAAAAAAAAGATTGGTGGAAATATAGATGTTATTATTGTAGTCATTGCATTAGCACAAATCAGTCAATTGCTTTGTCTTTTAGTATATTTTCACAAATGCCTTTTGAATTGTAGTTGGAACAGACTCTCTGGAGGAAAGGAAGGGAGGATTTATTCACTAGCTTCATCTTTTGATACATTTCCTACCCTTCAGGTAGGAAGAAAAAGAGAAAGGGAAGAAAGCCCATGTAATATTTATTACAAATTTATACTAAAATGTCATTTATTGTTCATCTGCAATTAAAATTTAACTGTGAGTTCTGTATTTCATCTATCAGTCCTGCTGTCAGGATTCACATTCATATTTTCATGCAGCATCTCTGTGACACTATGCACAAACACAGAGGTTGGTTTCTCCTCCCCTGTGCTGCATTGTACAGGACTCAACAGAAAGCAGGGTGCAAGGAAGATGGCATGGCTATGACTTTCCTCTAACAGAACAGGGTCATTCTAGGCCACTGCACAGGAGGCAAGGGAAGAGGGGGAGGCAAGAGAGAGGAGCACGAGGAAATAGTTATAGCTGTATGGACACAGGGAGATAAATAACATTATTTTCTGTGAAAAGAGTCCTGATTCATTATAATATCTCTAATATCTATGGTACTTGATCCTGGGGATTTAGTAATGAGTACAACAATATTCATGCTACCAGGAAGCTTACAGAATGGCTTGAACATTACAGGCAAACCAATTGAAAAATGCTTAATGAAATGATTGTAAAAATATCACCTCATTAAATGGAGGTTTCTCTAAATGATAGTTTGGTAAAACAACAACAATAACAAAGTTACCCCTTCCAAGCAAAACTATCGTTTGGATTGCTTTTATCAAATGGATACTTCCAAAAAAAGATAGAAAAGCATTGGCATAATAACAACAATAAATTGTATACACATAAAAAAAGAAGTTAAAACACTAAATAGAATTTTTTATTTGGGTTTTTATAAGGCAGATCTATGAGAATGGTATAAAAACATGGCATGTATTTTGGTAACAATACTAGAGATTACAGAGTTTTAGCAAGTATGAGCCACACACATTTACAGAGAGAACAGTATTTTCCACGCAGGTACAAAATAGACAATGAAAAAAATCAAGGCAAGAGAAAGATTCCAATTAACAATAGAAAATCAATTGTAACGTAAATTGCATGTTACCTTTTAAAAGCTTTTAAAGGTAAGATTTATTGCCATCTATCTTATTCAACAGTGTTAAGCGGTATTATGACAAAGGACTGAATGGCAGAAAAGATTACTCTAGATTTCACATAATACAGAACTCATATCTAAATGACTTACTTGCAGGAAAAAAACACAATGGAAATATATAATAGTGGTCTTTAATCTGCTTTCTGTAGGGTGTGGATTGGGCCCTCTGGGGGCAGTTGTCATAGATGCACACTATCAACAGCAAAATGGATGGAGGAAGAGGAACACACCTTGCTGTCCTTGCAGACTTCATCTCACTGGCCAGCTCTCAGTCAACATCTCTCTCTGTATATATATGTACACACACACACACACTGCCAGGGCAGCTAGGAACAGTGACCCATTGAAGCTGTTACAGAAGCAGGGAAACAGACATTGGGAGACAACTTCCAATCCTTGTTTATAAAGACATCAGCAAAACTATAGAAAACCTTCAAAGAGGATCTTTAAGAGAGTATGTTCCTCAAATTGGCAATTTGGAAGTACCATAATTTGGAGAATCAATACAACCTGCCCTTACTTTGGATGAATTCATGGTGGATATTCATGCAAAATTTTAAAAATTCTCAGTATGTGTGTTAGGCTAAATACAACCTCCACCCCCGTTTAAAACTATAATATGGATAGAATCTCTGAAAATTAAACACGTTATAATTTTCCTATACTCAAAAAAAAGCAAAAGAACCCATTCATCCTATAACATTAAATGTTCAAAAGCTAGAACAGATTCATCTGGAATTAGTCTAAATATATGGCAGAATTTTTTTACTGACTTAAGTTGAATATCTGATTTTCCTTACAATACATCATAAATATAACTTTACCACTGAACTAAGGTATCTATACTACATATAACATTTCTATGAGTCATAAATTTACAAAATCATTTCAATACATCATTTTAAATGTTAACATATAAAAGCAGGGACTTTATAGACTGATGCAGCTAAATGTGTTCAGTGTTTACAGTATTCTGAAAGAAATATTTATGAATTATATTTAGGGTATTTACTTAAAATATAACATTCATAAATATATTTCAACTAAATGTCTTTTTCTGGAGAAAATATTTTATTATGAAATTGTTTAATAGCAAAAGGCAATTAAAAAGAATTAATATTTTATTATATTATATAAGAGATTAACATAAAAATTGAAGTTATTCTTGAAGCACTTTTACAGAAATAATTTTTAAAATGTAACTATAATATGACTACAAATACCTTAATTTAGTATTATCAAATTAATATTAAAAGTAAAATTCTTTATCAACTCAAAGTTATTCTAATTTTATGTTTATAATCAGGAGTTTATCAATGGAGCTCATTAGCTACCTCATATGTGGAAGAGAATAATTATCTCTGAGAAATATCTGTAAATATAATTTACTCAGACTTTTACATACTTTAAAAGTTAAACAAAAATCTTGCGTGTAGATAATCTGTGCTAAACTTCGAGGTATGCTTTTAAAAATAAACGTTAGTATGAATATATTCATATTTAAATGTGATTTAAAATACTTTTAATAGAGGATACATATGAAAACTGTACACAAAAGCTATGTAAGCATAATACAGCTCATGGTTATTTTCCTCATAGGAAAAAATTATTTGATATTCTTTGCATAGGCTCAAACCTGGGTATATTTCCTACATTCTCATAATTTTTGCAGGGGCACTTCTTGAGAAACAATTCTCACATGTTGTAACAGCAAACTTTAATTCTTCTGAGGCCAGAAAAAAAAAGATCCAAAAGTGATTATGAAAAACAATGAAAAGAAAAATAATCACAGAAACAGTAAGACCATCAAAAGTCAATAGATTTAAAATTTTAGGAAATCATTTAAACATTTAGAATTACAATGAATGCATTTTATTCTGAAACTTCAAAATTATTCCACTTTTTTCTAGCAATGCAAAGCCATTTAAAATAACACTTGCATCTTTTGTGCACTGCTTTATCAGATTTTCAAATGCCCAATTTATCTATAATAGTGACAGTTTTATATATTATTGGCTACTTAATATCTATATACAACACCTAACTAGTCATTTAAAATTTAGAACTACTTCATTGTATTTCAGTATTAAATGGTTAAAGTGTGATCTTAAGAATAAAAGGAACAAGAAAGTACTGATATGTTGTTATTTTCACTAATTCCTAGCATCAGTATATTTATCATTATCACCCTACTGAATACTTACTAATAACGCAGTCTTAATGAAAAGGGAAGAAATGTAATCAATATAAAGAAAATGGGTAGCTCAGTAAGTACAAGATATTAAACTTCACCAAACAAGAAAAGTTCAGGGAATCACGAGTGATTTCCCAGAGCCATTGAATGGGAAAGGTAGATGGTACTAAATTAAGTCCATTCACTGGGCAGCTGGATTCAAGTTAATGGGTAACTCAAGAAATGATATAGTTTTAGGAACAGAAATGCATATGATTGTATCTTGTCTGTAACCTTCTATTTTAATAAAAAAGGAGAAAATGTAGGGCATCCTGAGACTTGAATGGAATGCAATTTACGTGTAGAATTTCAGCACTGAGAAATTTTATGAATAATTTCTATGATTATATGTTTCCATCAGATTTATAATTGACCACTTATTTTAATATCCTTCATGATTAGTATAAATTGCTCTCTAATGAATGGTTATAGTGGCAGAGGGGTTTCTCAGGAAGAGAAGAGGAGATGACTGCTTTTACAGAGATCTATAAAGTGTCTTCAAGTCCTCAGCAACTCATTAACACCACCATGGTCCTCTCTGATTGAGGCCTCCCTTGCATAGAGAGGCCTATGGACTCTGGTAGATCGCTAGGTCAGACCTGTGTAGCTAAGTCAGGACTTCCCTACCAGAAGCAATAAATTTATGGATTGGGTATTTCCCTACATCATTGGATGCACATAACCCACCCCAAATGATTCCTTCGTATAAAAGAGAAAGTATCTAGACTGACCTTATGAATGTAATGTATGGAAATAAAACAGGGTTAAATAGTCTAGTAGTTAAAACCCCAGCTTCAAGATGATTACTGCCTGGACTTACCCTGCACTTACTCATGGTGTGACCCTGAATGAATTACTTTCTACCCTCCATTTCCTTATGCATAAAACATGGACAATTACCTATTTCATGGGGTTATTGCAAGTAATAAGTAGAATAGATCTTGAATAGATAATATAGAATAGATAATATAAGTAAAGTATTAACAACCATGATCTCCCCACCCCCACACGCCCGGGGAACATCAGTAAATTCCACACCATGTATGGTGGTTACTGGCTAAAGATCAATTTAATGATCAGCTGCTGAATAATTACTCATATGTAAACTTGACAACTAAGAAAAGCTGTACAAATCCCAGGATTGGTATTCTACTATATTAGATATCTGCTTTGAAAGTGAAATGTTACCGAATCCTTTCCCTGTCGACATATGAATTGTACAGTAAAACTGCTCTGAAACATATGAAGAACAAAATCTGTCATGAGCAGTACATTATCACTATGTATTTTATGTCGCCAATGAATTTTAAATATAATTTCATGTTTTTAAAAGAATGTGTTTGGTTACACAATCACATGGCTTTGCACAATTAATGGCTTTCTTTAAATCCTGTCTTCTGAGAAGTATAATAATCTTCTCATGAATACTTACCAAGATGCTAATGTTATGTGTCCTTTCTTAATGAGGTCTGATGGTATATTTCTACTTCTTAAGCTGGGTAAAAATTAAAATCTTAAGTTACAGGATATGGGTATATCCACTGAGCTATATTAAAAGATCCTAATTCTGGCTTGTAAAGTATTTTTAAGATTATGTTACATCTAAGGACTCTACCATTTGAGCCATGTCCCAGCCCTTTAGTTTACATGTTGTTTTGGAGATAGTCTCCCTAACTGGGTTGATCTCTATCTCCAGATCCTCTTTTCCCTGCCATCTAAGTAGCTGGGATTACAGGTACCCACCACCATGCTTGGCCTTACATCTATATTATTTACTATAAATGTTTGCCTGATTATGAAATATAGTTAAAATCACAATACTATTACAATTAGCAAAGCAAAAAATAAATACCTAAATTTCAACAATACATTGGCTACAAATTTTATGTTGACCAGTTATGACATTTATGGAAATTAACTTGAAAATACGATCACTATATCCATTGATATCTCATTTGACATGTTTCAAATAGACAACACACTTACAACTGAACACAGAGCACAGCATTTTAACAATGGCATGAATAAAACTTCATATGATGGCATCAGTGAGCACCATTTATCATCACATTACTGTGACCTTCTCTGGGGAAAGTTGAGGAAGTGTTTCCTCAATTCCTTCTTCTAGAAATTGGCTCTTTTCCCAGCCCTTTTTAATTCTTTTAAGCTTTCGGTTGATGCACGGAAGGAGTAAAATGATCTTACCCACAATTACAATGGAGGGCAAAACAAGAGCAAGAACAAAGTTTGGTGGTGTATAAAACCTGTAGTACTCCTCTTCAAAAGCTCGCTTCCACCCATAAATCAAAACATGGAATGTACTTATGAGTAAGGCCACATAGCCAAGTGTAGACTTGGGGCAAGGAAGAAAGGAAAAAAGAGAAATATAACAAAGAAATCAATTATTCAATCTCATAAATTAACCTATATACATAGAATGTTTATATTTTGATAAGACTACTTTGTCTAAAGTTGATTTAGCTACTCTTTGTCCTCTGCTTAATTAGGCAATTTAAAACATTTTCATCTATTTTCCTATAGACAAATACTGACATTATTTATTTGTGATCTTTATTTTATGCTAATGAGTATATTGGTATATACACACATGTATATGTATAATATATATACTAATAAAGGTATATGTTTAATAGTCTGAGTATTTTACTTATATCATAAAGAAAATGATTTCACAAGGGCTATTCTAGGTATATGTGGAATTATCACAATGCAACACCCTCATTAATCTGTACTACTTCAAAAGTTAAATTGAAAACATTTTTGTGTCATTGCAAAATGACAAGAAGATGTTAACAATAAATAATGTCATGTTAGGCCTTTTCTATATTTTGGTTATTTCCTTGGAACTGATTTCTACTAGTGGAATTGTTGATCCAAACATGCAGCTTTTCCTTCAGGATGTTGATATACATTGCTAAGCTCTTCTTCATAAAGATTATTACAGTCCTACCAGTTATGCATATAAATGACCTATACATATATAAGAATATATATGTATTCATATAGATGTACGTACATATGGTATGTTAAGTATAGATGATCAGTCTCATGAGAATATATACATAACACTAACATACACAGACACATATATACATATACACTAAGAGGAAAATTTCAAAACTCCTTCAATATTAATCTATAAGAAACAATTCAAATATATACACATTGACTACACTGAGATTATTCAGAGTATTTAACTTTGTACCTTAAGTTTTAAAAGGCTAGCATTTTTCAGTTTCCTAAATTATTATGTTGAAGACGGCTTACTTGAGAAATGATTGATGTTACAGAAAATATTACATCATTAGAATGATGTAATGTCTACTTCACTAGGAAAATACCAAGTCTCCAGCAGGCATAATTTGCAGCTACTCATCTAAATCTATAATGACAATATGCATCTCTTTACTACCTGTTATCAGAAGGCCTGCTATTTCTTTTCAGATGTGATTAAGCTAGCATTTTGGAAAGTATTCTCCTTTTTCTTTTTTTTTTTTGGTTGGTCATGGGGCTTGAACTCTGGTCCTGGGCGCTGTCCCTGAGCTCTTCAGCTCAAGGCAAGGGCTCTACCACTTGAGCAACAGCGCCACTTCTGGTTTTCTGGTGATTAAGTAGAGATGAGTCTCATGGACCTTCCTGTCCAGGCTGGCTTTGAACCACGATCCTCAGATCTCAGCCTCCTGAGTAACTAGGATTACAGGTGTCAGCCACCGGCACCCAGATCCTTATTTCTTAAGGATAAATGGATCTAGACAAAGGTATGCCCTTAATTTGAGTGAGATTGTTATATATTTTTTAAAGCCCAAAATAGGTGAAGAATAAAACTTGGTGTAAAATCACATGAAATTTGATGGTTTGATTTGTTCTATACACCATTTGGAGACAACAGATTTTGTGATCAAATAGGTATTGTCTGAATTTGCATTATGAATTTTAAAAGTCTGCAAATTTATTTTGTAGATATTACTGGAGAAAATGAATGTGTAACTTTTTTTTTTTTGTTAGTTGTGGGGTTTGAACTGAGGGCCTGGATGCTGTGCTTGAGCCTCTTTCTGCTACAGGATAGCATCTACCACTTGAGTCACAGCACCATTTCTGGTTTTTGAGTGGTTATGGAGACTTTTCTGCCCAGGCTGGCTTCAAACCACAATCCTCAGATCTCAGCCTCCTGAGTAGCTAGGATTACAGGCGAAAGCCACCAGCGCTGGCGAATGTGTGACTTTTTAAAGAACACACTGGTGTTCTGAGATCCCTTTATATATACTTTTAAACATTAGTTTATGACTGATATCTTAAATACATATACTAACAAGACTCACAAAGTTGGCTATCATAATCAGTTACCTAATTGCATGTAACACATGCATTAAAAAACATTACCTTTTCTCCACTGAAATTAATGAAGATTTCCTGCTCTTTAGACTGATCAAGATGACTCAAAATATATAAAATAACTTACTCATTTGGCTAATATTAAACTATTTTAATTTGATATAAGATTACTCCTGTCTCCATTTCATTCTTTTAAATAATCTTTATTCTTAATATTGTAGACAGTGCTATCATAGTCTTCCTTAACAATGAAAACTAGTCTTTCTCTTATTAAACAGACTTAACTGCCCTAAGCTGGCCTGTAGAAGTATGTGTTGTTTGAGCAAAATATATAACCATGGCCACAAAGACACTGTTTTTGTAAGGAGCATATTTAAAATTCAACCGTACTTAACAATTAAATTCTAAGCTGTGCAATCCCTTAACAAACAAAACCCCACCTACCTGAATAAAACTGAATTCCCTCCAATTTAAAGCATTGCTCACTGAAGGGATGGAAGTGACTGCCAGAAGGGAAAGTAAGCCAAGGCTCATTATGCCAAAGGAGATATACATTTCAATTCTCCAGACCTCTTCCTCATTCCAAGAGTTTTCAATATTTGCATGAACCTAGCAAGAAAACAAATGTGATTTTCTTTTATTTGGTGGGATGTGAACAGATTCAGTCAATACAAAGAACTGGGTCACAGATGAACATATTTAAGTTGTATTCCTTCAAACTATTATGGAAAGCAGATTAGTTTGGTATTGTTTCAAGTATAAGGGAAAGGGAAGGAAATGTTAAATAAAATCAGGACTAAGACTTTCTCATTCTGGGTAACACTGATCAAGGTGCATTGTATTTGTGCACTGTATTCATACTTTGTTAAATGCAACTCCTTTGTATAGCTATTTAAGATAATAAAAATATGCATTTAAAAAAGACTTTCTCTTTAGTGTATACAAGAAGAGGAAATTTCCCTCTTTTGCCATAAATGCAAGGAATCAGAAATTCTGGAGTCCAAAGCTGGTTTCCTGGACAAGAGAAAGAGGTCTTGGTAGATTTAGTTCTAAGGTATTTTTATATGGTAGTTGAAACTTGGTCAAACAGTTTGGTACATTGTGGCCTTAGTTTAACTTACGTTACAGGCAGGGGTTTTCTATATTCTTTCTTTCTCTCCTACCTGTATATTATGTTTATATTGATTTATCTCTCCCCTTTTTTTTCTTCCCCAGGAAGCTGGGATTTTCTAAGGTAAAAGCTCTAAAGATAATATCTTACAAACTCCAATTGCCTCATTCTGTATGTACTGTTCTTTGAAACACCTTTCTCTTACATCGATAATGCATATATAATCAAACCAGACAATGAATTTGTGATCACTTGGATAGGAAATACTTTCAGAATTGTTTATGTACTCACAAAAAGTCTATTAGAGCTTAAGTCAAGAGCGAAATTCTTTTGGTTGAAGTTTTGAGTTAAGTAACTTCATGGAAAACATTCTTACAAACATCATGTTAACTTTGCCTAAGTTTAGTTGGAAAAGCATAAACTTTTTCAAAAGCTATGTCTTAGCCATATGTTTCCTGAAGCAAGAATGACAATATCCTGAAAGAGCTGAAGAGCTCCATTGCTGAAGAAAGATCTTGTTTGATATCTACCCCACACTTCAGGGTAGTAGATACTCTGATATGCCTAGACACTACAACTGGACTGATTTTCCTCCTAATTCAATTCCTCATCTCACAAATACATTTCTTGAGTGTCTGCTTTATCTAATCACAGCGTTAGACATTGGCTTGGTATCCGTGAACAACACAGAGACCTCATACAATCCAATGGAGTGGGCAGACAATAGTAAAAATAATGAGGAAAACATAAAGTGTGTTATAAGAGTAGTAAGTACATTTGAAAAGAAAAAAAAAAAGAAGCCAAGAGGCTCTGAGAGTCCTGAGCTGCATTGGGTGCATATGGCAAGATTCAAAGTGTCCACTGTAGGTCACATTGGAAGAAGTGAGGAAGCTAAATATACATATATCAAAACCTGAAGTATTCCAAGGCCAGGAGGGGAGATGTACATCTGCAATCCTGGCTTCTCAAGGGACGGAGATTGGGAGGACTGTAGAGGCTAACCCAAACAAAAATGTTAGCAAGACTCTATCTCATTAGATGTCAGTGAGTGATGTGTACCTCAGCTATTGTGGATGTGGAGGGGGAGCGAGCATAGTTCGAAACTAGTCCTGGGGGCGAGGATGGGGTGGGAAACACAAGGCCCTATCTAAAAATATTATTAAAGTAAAAAGGGATGGAACTGTGGCTCGAGTGGTAGAGCACCAGCCTAACAAGTTCAAAGCCCTGAATCCAACTTTTCCCCTCTCAAACCTTACTATTCAACTAAGAGAAGTGGAATTTTCAGAGAGCAAATGACTTAAAGGACATCAATCTACTTACTTTACAAAATGTACTTTAGGTTTTATTGTTGAACCTTATTCAGATAATACGTACTTCAACTATGTCTAATCTTCTTATATGTATACACACACACACACATAAAGGTGTTTACACATTTGTTTTGATGCAATGTCTGGCTTCCACTGAGAAATGCTACATCAAACATTGCAGTAAAACCCTGTGCTTTCCATCTGTGCGATGGGAGTTAGTGAGATCAACCTCTACCTCGTCACCAAGCCCTTACATGAAGCTCTCTTCAGGATTCTCTTGGAGAGCTGGGTGCTAGGAAAGCTTTATGAGAGAAACTAGTATCTTTTCTGCTCTTTCATAATAAGAATTGTAAGTAGCAGTTTCTCCGTTTTTACTGCATCAGACAGGAGCAGTTACAGACCCAGCTATGAAGCCAGCAGAACTGGCCACTTTTTCACTTCATCTTGATTCTTTATTTTGTTTTATATTTTCACTGGTTCTAGTTTTATGTGTGTTTATTACTGAAAACTTCATTAATAGTTTGGGCACCATAGAAAGTTAAAAAACAATTATTAAAATAATTAATGTTATAACATTAACAGTGTTATCATTCAATAGTGTAAACAGGCTCGGAATGTGGCTTAGTGGTAGAGTGCTTGCGTAGCATGCATGAAGCTCTGGGTTTGATTCCTCAGTATCATATAAACAGAAAAAGCCAGAAGTGGTACTATGGCTCAAGTGGCAGAGCGCTGGTAGGGCACCAAGAGGCTCTGGGACAGTGCCTAGGTCCTGAGTTCAAGCCCAGGACCCGGAAAAAAATGTTGAAAACAGTCATAATCATAACATATTCTTTAAAAGGGAGGATCCCCACACAGTTCTTACCTTCTCTTGTATTCTGCAAAGAAGGGGATGGTCTTTGCTTTTACCCTAAATGAGTTGCAATTAGCCACATTCTCACACAAAAAGAGTGTTTAAATGATCATTCTTTCCCTTCCCTAACTAAACCAAAGAAAATTTCCATTCTGAGAGATTCTTACACCATTTACACTTCATATTTTACAGCTCATATTAATAAAGCCTTTTACTAGAGGCAGAGAATTAACAAGCACATCCAGTACCTGCTGATAAGCCATGTTGAGAAACAAGTATCTTTCTGACCTTCTCATGGGTAAGCAGAGGCTGTAGGCAACATGGACAACAGCGAAGAAAAAGCTCAGTAACCCCAGCTGTTTCCTGCACTGTAACCAGGTCTCCAACCAAGGCGGGAATCTTCGATACTTGGTGCCATAATACAGCTGATAGGCAGCTGCCAGGAGACCTGCTAGGTACACCAGGGACAGCAAAGTGATAGCAACGATAGGCAAAGTTTTATTCACAATCTCAATAGGAATCTTGTAGAAGTCACTCTGCTGGTTTCTTGCATATGGATGTATCACATCTCTGACAAAGGAATAAAGAAAGAAAAACGTGGCCAAGCTTATGGCTACCACCACTGGCCCTCTCCAGAGAGTAAACAGTCGTAGGGGCAAATTTTCAATCTCCCTGGCTGCTGACAGTGATCCCAAATCAACAGGAATGAAATTCAGCTGGCGAGCAAGCTCAATAACTTGTTGACGAGCTTGGATGTTGTTGCTGCATATATATACCTGCAGGAAAAAGGAAGAAAGCTCATTATTACTATTGTTGTTTATAAGCATGGCAGTGATCACTTTTCCCACGTAAACTACAGTGCATCAGTTGTAAGGCAAGCACTCTACCACTGAGCCACCTTCCCAGCCCCAGTACATCAGTTGTAACGACCTTGAGTGGATGCGACTAATTAGAGATGAAGCATGAATTTACAAATCTGTCTTTTAAAAAAAGATACAATTATTTTATCACCATGTTTAATTTTAGTGCATACGCACATAAAGACTTTTAAGATGAACTATCTTATTTGCTTACATTTAGAAGTTCTCGTTTCAGAAGCATTGATAGGACTTGCCATTTGCTTCATTCTCAAGCTGAAGTAAAAATTACTATCCATAGACTTGTATGCTAAAAGCAAATCTAAGAAATCCAGTGTGAAAGTATGGAGGTTCCTCAAAAGACTTCACATAGAGCTCCCCTATGACCCAGCAATCCCACTTTTGGGCATTTACCCAAATGTTTACAAACAACTATGTTTATTGCAGCATTATTTACCATAGCTAAGATATGGAACCAACCCAGATGTCCCTCAGTAGATGAATGGATCAAGAAAATGTGGTATATATACACAATGGAATTCTATGCCGCCATCAGAAAGAATGACATTGCCCCATTTGTTAGGAAATGGAAAAACTTGGAAAAAATTATATTAAGTAAAGTAAGCCAGGCCCAAAGAAATATAGGTCCCATGGTTTCCCTTATTTGCAATATCTAGTATAGGTATGAGTCAAGCGGAAAAGGTCAGATAATGTGATGTTAGGAAAATGAACCCTTAGATAAGTATTTTAATGTTTTTTTCTTTCATGCATTTGTTTCTAACGCATTTATAAGATTATCTCTTTGTTGCTTTATATGTCCCTCCCCCATAGTATAACCCCTGCTTTCACTATATTTGATGTCAGTATAACTTGTGGAGGAGATGGGGAAAAACAAGTCCTTTAAGGATACAGGTGGACCTGTTGCAACAATGAGAAGTACAAGTTGTCATGTCGAAAACAAGCTTTACAACGTTGGTGTGGTGGGGGGGGGGAGGTTTGGGTGGGGGGTGGGGGGGAGGCTGGGAAGGGATGTGAAGGGTAAACAAAGGAGGAGGCTGCAATGTTTGATAAGAAATGTACGCATTATCCTGCCCATGTAATTGTAACCCCTCTGTACAGTATGTTCACAAAAAAAATTAAATTAAATTAAAAAAAAAAGAAATCCAGTGTGAAGTCTGGAGGCAGTGACTCCTTAATTATAACAATCCCAGCTATGAAAGAGGCAAGGATTTGGAGGATTGTGGGTTGAGGCCAGTGTGGGCAAAGAGTTAGCAAGTAAGTCCCCTATCTCAACATTAAAAGCTGAACATTTTGGTCCATTTCTGTTATTGTAGCTATGTGGGAGGCAGAAGTAGGAGAATCATAGTCCAAACTAGCCCAGCCCCTCCTCCCACAAAGAAGTGAGACTCTGTTAAGAAAAGTAACTTATGCAAAAAGGGCTGAGGTTTCTCTCAAATGGTGGAGCTCTTGCCTAGCAAGTATGAGGTAGTAAGTTCAAACCCAAGTATTGCTTCCCCTCTGCTCCCCAAATCCCACCTGCTTCCACTTGCCACATATGGATCAAGATTTTTGCTTTAACCAAACTGTGGTATTGTATATTCTGTGGCTATTTTAGTCTATGTAAATTAAAAAAAGGCTCTTCTTAAGAATGATATTAAATAGTATTTTATTCAGAGATGAAACATTGTGTTACCAAGTCGCTGCAGAAAATGAGAATGAAAGAGCTAAGGAGGGAAAAGAGGGACACAAAAGACCTATTATTTTTGCAGTTTCTTTGGTTGTAATGAGGCTAAAGTTAGTCTTGTACTTGCTAGACAAGTGCTCTACCACTTGAGCCATGCCCATAGCACCTTTAATCCTCTTGGTTTTGCTTTTTCAAATAGGGTCTCATGGTTTTGCTTGGGCTGCCTTTGGACCATGTATCTCCATTAGCTGGGCTTATAGGTAGCGTGTGCCTGTGATTAGCATATCTGTTGAGATACAGTATTGCTAGCTTTGTGCCTGGGTTGGTTTTTAACTATGCCTTTCCTTATCTTTACTGAGTGGCTGAGGTTAGAGGTATCAGACACTCACTCAGTCACTTTTATTGTTTTGCAGAAGCCAAGAGAGTAAATGCAATGGGACACACTGCTCATCAACCCTGCCTTTTCTTTAATTGGTGATAACAGCAAAGTCCATGTTATTTAATCTGCTTTCCATTTCAGTTTGGGAATGAAAACGTACTCTTACAAGGTCAAGACATTATCTTCATATAATCATCCCAAGTTTTGAAATAATCATTGGAAAGTGTCAGAATTTGGTTTCTGAATGCCCAATATTCGATCAACTACCAAATGCCATTTAAACAGTAAATATTAAGAGTACTTACCTGGCGGCTGGCATCCTTAGGTCCTAACTGAAGTGCCCACGCTGAGACTACATTAAATCCTTTGACAATCAAGGAATCTGGGAATAGTGAAGCCAGGTATTCAGCATTGGATTCGGGGTATTGATTTATCCTCATGTTATTGCTCACATCAATCAGGATTTTACCCACAAGCAGGTGTCTCAGGTCCCACAGGGAGGTGTAATGTTCTCTGTGTATAGCAACAAATATTATATTTGTTTTCGTCAGAGCATCTTCATGATGGGTGACATCTACCACATGAGGAAAAAATTCAGAGGCAAACTTGGGATTTCTACTTCCTATGACCACATGATAGCCACATCTAATAAGACGAATGGTCAGAGACTTGGCAAAATCTCCACTTCCAATCACACCCACAGTCACTTTCCTCGCATCTTTGATACCATTTATGCCATTAGGCAGAAAAGTTTCACTCAGACTTTTAGGGCTTCCCATCATAGAGATTGATTCCATGATACAGACTCTCCTCAAATCACCAGGAATGTCCTACAAGAAAGAAAATAAGATGGTCACCAATTGCCTGTTGGCAGACACTAAAGCATTTCTAGGTACTGTGACTTTGTCTTATAGGTAAAATATTGTATGACATGCAATACAACATGAAAACCAGCAAGGCAGAATTTGTAATCTAGAGAAGATATCTAATTAGAAAAGTTAGTTGTCACAAGGTGATATGCTAAAGTGAGGCTTCATGTGTTCACAAAGCACCTGGAACTCTTCTTAAAAGGAGTGAGTGGAAAGGGATGCCCAATGTTCTATATTTCTAACAACGTTGATGCCAATGCTGCTGCTGTGCAGACCCTCCTTTATACAGCAAAGCAGTGGGGCACAAAAAGAAAGAGACTTAAGTTTTCACACAGAACTTTAAAAACTAAAAACAAAAATCCCCACATTTCTAACAAGCATGATACCCAGCAGCTCAGCAAAATAGACAGCAGGAAAGAAATACCATAAGAGGCAAAAAACAGGGCCTTGGTACTAAGTGATAGCTCACAAGGAAATAGGAAAACCATAAAACAAACAACTAACCATGTAAACCAAAATTGTCTGGAATCATTTGAGATGAAGTTTATAAAACACCCTGTTCATCTGAGTAGGTAGTAACTTTTTCATAAAATGAGAGTATGGTAAATCAGCCAATTAAAAGAAAAAAAACACCTGGCATTTACATACTATTTTTAAGGAGGTAAGTATCAAAAATTTTTTAAAAAGGAGTGAGTAAATGACATCACTGTCTATCATTGATCCTATGTCCTATAACTTACCATTAAGAAAAGTAGCTTCTCTAAAGAAAGGGGGTTTAGTAATAAGTTTATGGCTTTAACTTACACAATACTTAAAAAATCTTGTTTTCTCCCTTTCATTTGTTGGTTACAAAGACTATAACACAGTCATTTTTCTTGGAAAACAGGCTATTTTTTATTAACATCTCAGATATTCATATGAATATAAACTTGCTCAATAATGCAAATAATATGGGCATGGATCAGTGTTGGTTCTGATGAAAAATAATGTATCATTCTATCCCCAGGGTACAGTGACTTTTATGCTAACAGCTGAGGCAGATCACTTCTTGAGAGAATTCAATGGATATTACATGCATAGAAGGGATATTTAAGAAACCATTTTGTTCAGTTTTTAACTGGAATTTGAAACAACTGAATTTAGGAAAATGCAACATTGATCCTAGAAATTAATCACACCCAATGACTACAAATACATCAGCAAAATACACTTTGGAAAGGCAATACTATCAGTAATGTTGCCTCAGGCTCATTCCTATGTAGTAACATATAGTAACCCAATCGACACAACTACACTGTGAACTAGGTGCTACTGCCATGCTCAGTAGGTATATGAGGAAACCAAGACAATCAGAAGAGAATTGTTTGTCCTCAGTCTAAAGGGAAAAACTGGAAGATCTAGGATTAGAACCCTGGCATTCTACCTAAGGCATGTATCATCGAGTGGATGTCAGGAAGAAAAAGGGTTTTGTGGGGGGGGGGAGGGAGGGGAGAGGGTGGCTATGGGGAGCATGGTGAAAGTTATAGTTATCTCCATATTATTATATTGTTTCTCCTTTGGCCATCTCATCAGCTACTCAGAAATATCCAGTGATCTTAATGTCTTAGATCCTGGGAAAGGAGAAAACTCACTGTTGTTGTTTTTTTTAAATATCTGTTGCATATTTCATTTTGTTTCAGTATAGAAACAGTAGTAATTATCTGCCTTCCACTGGAGGAGTCCCATACATCCAGAAGATTGGAGAGGGGGCTATCAGAGGAACTGAGGTAGTCCAAAGTGGTCAACATTTTCATGGCGATACTGTTAGCAATTTGGGGGATCAGGAACAATTAAAGGAACCAGAAGTTATGAAATCAGTATTTATTTCATTCAAAAATTAAGGATGAAGTGACATTATCCATCTTCACTCATATATATCATATATCCTGTAAAGAAGGTACCATATCCACATACAGAGTCTCAGTCCTGTATATATATAGATATATAGATATATATATATACACACACATATGTATATATATATATACACACATATAGATGTAATATATATCATAGAATTTAAGATATATTAATTTAAAAATCTTTAAATCCAATGATCATGATCATAAGGCCTTAACAAAGTAAAAGCAAAAGAAAAACCTGCTAGATGTCTATTTATTTTACAAAGCATGTTCTAACTCCTTTAAATCAGAGTGTGAACAGGTAAAAATACATTAGGACCTAATAATATCACCAATGGGTCCCCAATTAAACCACATACAGTACACATACTATATATGTGACTCTGGTGTAACATGTTTGGGCCTTCTTCATATGGTATTCCTAATGACAAGTTCTAACTGGACCCTTTAAAAATAGGCCTGTGGCTAGAATGGTAATTGCACTAATAAACAAAACTCTTTCATGAGAGTGTCAAAGAATATAAATGCATCAGAGAGAGAGAGGGAAGACAAAGAGAAAGAGAGAGGGAGGAAAAGGAGAGAGGGAAGAGGAAAGAGCAGGAGAGATGGAAAGACCTAGGAAGGAAGAGAGAGATAAATCTATAGTGGATCTGAGATATGGACTGCTTATTGCTGAAGCACAGACAGTAGGTTTAGTATTTATAGTAAATTGAGGGTTTTCAGAATAATATTCCAATTTAACTCTCAAATGGCTATAAAATATATAACTATCTTGGGGGGTAGGGGAGCAGGGAGGATTGGGTGGGGGGGGCAGGGGGAGGATGGGAAGGGATGGGAAGGGGAAACAAAGGAGGAGGCTACAATGTTTGATAAGAAATGTACTCATTATCTTGCCCATGTAATTGTAACATATCTGTACAGTACCTTCACAATAAAATATATATATAACTACCTTAAAGATAAGGCAACAGAGGCTCAAAGAACATCAACTGTTCACCCATGACAGTGCTGTTTGGCAGTGACAGCAACGATTCAAATACAAGCATCCTCAGACTGCAGTGCCAACATTACATGGGAAGCCTTAAAACTGCTTAGCATCTCTGAATGTCATCTGTAACCTATACTTTGCAAAGATACCACTAACTTTAAATAGCTAAACTATGAATCTCAGTTTAAGCTACTTTTAGATAAATCCATAGCATATATGCTTGGGAATTTTAGCTACAAAACAGATTAAACTATGATAGGAATAATTATTTTTCGATAAAAACACTCTGTGAATTTATTAATGCTTCAAAACAAAACATGACCAGTTGTTGTATAACTTTTTGTGTGTGTGCCATCCCCGGGGTTTGAACTGAGGCCTTAAGGTCTGTTCTTGAGTTTCTTTTGCTCAAGGCTAGTTCTCTACTACTTGAACCACAGTTCCACTTCCAGCTTCTTCCATAGCTCAGTGGAGGTTTCTCAAGGGCTTTCCTGCCTAATTAACTACCAAAAAACTGAAAATGGAGTTGTGCTTCAAATGGTTCAGTGCTAGCCTTAAGCAAAAAAGCTTAAGAACAGTGCCTGGACCCTGAGTTCAAGCCCCAGGAATGGTCACATACACGTACACACATACACACACACATACATACATACACACGACTAATATCATCATTTAAGAAAAAATATGTGAAAAACTTTAGTATATTTCCATTGACAAGGAATGAAGCAAGCATAATCTCATGGCATATCTACTCTGCTGTTGCTAATATGATTTTTTTATGGTCATTGTATGTGTGAGTGCTAGCCTTGAGCAAAAGAGTTCAGGGACAGCACCTAGGCACAGAGTTCAAGCCCAATGAACAACAAAAAAATCAATTTATAATAGGAACTATGTTCAGTGGTACTCACTAGACACTGTTGAAAATGAACTATACAACTTGTGAGTAGGGACAGGAGGGAAAAACTGGGAGAGAGCAAAGGAAAAGATAACAATATCCAAAAAGAAATATACTTATTACCTGACTTATGAAACTGTAACCACTCTGTACATCACCTTTACAATAACAATATTTTTTTAAAGAAAGAACTAGATTGTATGGTCAAAGCATGCCCTAGAAAATTAGAAAATATTGCGTGGTGTTTCTTCCTCTCCTTCAAGTCATATTTTCTCTCTCTCTCTCTCCTTTGCCTCTTTTTTCTCTCTCTCTTTTCCTCCCTCCCTCTCTCTCCCTCTCCCGTTTCCTGTTCTTTCTCCTCTCTCTTTCTGTATAGATAAGTGTGTGTGTGTGTGTGTGTGTGTGTGTGAATAAACTCGTATTTCCAAACTAATGTCTAATTCACACAATTTCCACAGGACACTATGAATGCATATGAACTTAAAGAAGAAAGGCCTCAAAGTAAATTTAGCATTCTGTAGCCATGCTTTGGAAATTCTGTGGCATCGTTACCTAAGGAACAATTTAACAAGAGTAAGGAGTTTTTGATAAAATTATTCTACTTGGAGAATTATCTTCAAGTCTTTCCTACTTTGGAGATATGCCTTGCCTACTTTTAGAAATCAAATGAGATAGCAATTACGTAGTTCCTTTCCCTATAGTCTACAGGGAAAGTCTATAGTCTATATAGACTATAGTCTATAGTCTATAAAGGCAACGAACAGTTCCAAGGGCTACTGTTTTCAAAGACATTAGGAGGCTCTCTATGTGAAAGTGATCCTTCACTTGTTGGCAAGAAAACTTTTCCTGAGAGTGAGAGTACACACCTAGAAACTAATCCCTGTAACTGAGGTATCTGCTTAATAATCCTGAGGATGAGGATGCATTCTAAACATGAAGTATCAACTATCCCAGCCAAGTTTTCTGTAATTAGATGGTGAGGTGTTTTTTTTTTTTCATTATTACATCCTCTGAGTTGCACGAAGATAACCCCTAATTCTCTTGGAAGTTAAATAAACAAGTAAACCCAACTGTTGTTTATCTACGACAATCACAGTGGTTTCAGAATGGGGAAAGAGTGGTTTTGTTTCGTTTTCAGGCTTTTATTTCACAAATTCTCGAGTCCTTTTAGAAAACTTGA